TGAGTGAGTGAGTGAGTGAGTGAGTGAGTGAGTGAGTGAGTGAGTGAGTGAGTGAGTGAGTGAGTGAGTGATTGATTGATTGATTGATTGATTGATGTGTTTAATGATTTTCATTAAACCCAGGTTATGTAGGTTGCTAGAATAATAATCTGAATAAAGAATAGTATCCAGCGTGCCAACCTGACCTGTAATCCACACTAACACATACGGCAGTCCTCGGCAGACGAACACGCAAGCAGGTTAACGAAAATTGACAATTGTGTTAACCTGTGGCTGCATTTGGTTACCCGTTGAACAAACCTAAGTCATCGCGGCGTATTTTGACGGTAAAACACACGCGTGTCCCTTTATTGTAAACAGATAATGTTCAGTCCAACTTTTCTTTGAAAATTCTTAACTCTCTCGCTATTCAGTGGTGCAGAAACTGCATCGCCACACCTGCTGCGCGCTTCATTCTTAAACATTTTATTGTCTTCGGAGAAACAAGGAGGCACCCAAGAAAATCTGTGCGAGTTAAAATTTACGTTTTTCAATATTGTCTGTAATTGCAATTTTCTTGTAGGAGTGCTGGCGATGGATTAGTGTCAGGGCTGCCATTGGACCGGATGAAGATGTGGACGAGGCGGAAGACATAGTCAAGGCCGAAGTTCTCGTCTCAGGGCCCAACAGTTTGCTTGCAAAACTCGACCTCAGTGAGGTGGATATTTACAGCATGTACGGTCAGAATGACACCGTAGAAACGCCCGGCAGCGAAATAGAAGAAGATGAGTTGTTTAACGGAACAAAAAATGCGAATGGCAACGACAGAGAAACATAAATTCCTGTCGTGTAGCCTTCTTCGGTTGTATAGTTTAGTACCATCAAACTATTCGAGTGGAAGGAAAATTTGAATTTTCGTTTTACGAGGAAATGGGGAGATGCTGCTTTCTCTCGTTTTCGAAAATTACCTTATGTTTACCGAAGTAATGACCAAAGCATACTACTTATTTCAAACGCTTTCAGTTTTTCAAGTGGACTTTCTTTGCGCATTGCTAACACATTAGATTACGGGTTCTGTTGTCGGCATATTTCCAGTTGTACCATTTATAGAATTTGCCATTTATGGAATAGGCCATTTCCAATTTACCTTGTACCTCTGTTTCAATACGATTCCTCGTTCAAAACCTTTCATATGGAAAGGAGTTTGATTTGAATGAAAATGAACCTGTGGTTAGAACACGTTTTCATATGAATGGTTTCGCACAAAGTCTCGTTTTGAGACAGAGGCAAAAGGCAACTGGGATATAGCCTTTTCTCTTAATATTCATGTAAAAGGCGATTTATAACGTAGCATTTCTATAGATGGAATGAAAATTTGTTCAAGTCATTTTCAAAGTCATAAAATGTTTCTGTGGGAAATGCTTCGTTGTTTAGAATTCTAAAAAGTTATCGTGGGAAGATTAAAGAAAATATTGCCAGAGGTGCTATATTTGACGATATGTCTGGAGAATGACTGTAACCGTTAAGGTCTTCGTGAAAGCCTGCTTGAAATGGGTAGTTTTAAAAAAATATTACAAAATTTTTTTTCATTTTATGTTTAAATAGCAATAAATAAAGAAATATTATATATATATTGCCGACGACTTTTCAGGTCCAGTGGAAACAAATAACGTAAATAATCTTTCACTGTTGAAAATATACGGGATTTTAATAGCATTAAGTCATATTTTTAATTAGATATTATTAAAGGCGTTTTGCAAGATAAATTTATCTTTCATAGAGATTTTGTATGAAAAGAAGAAGTGTACTGAAAGATAGTAACATAGCGAAAGGTCGGACATGAAATAAACTTAAAGAAAACGATTTTGTTTATGTTTAAGTGCAGTTGTTGATTTTTAGCACCAAGTTCACTGTCATCTATTTTCTTGCAATTTATCCCTTGCCAGGGTCGCACGTTTTAAGTCCAAGATAGTAGCCACTCCAACCAAAGATGAAGGATACCTTTTGACAAGGTTGAATATGACAGGGATATCACTATTGGCGCCAGTGAATGAGTATTCTTTCAGCCTTGTTATTTCCTGCATTCTTCGGGCGATATACTGTAATAAAATGAAAGGAAATGCAAGATATATTTCGGGTCTTTCCATGGCATATATAGAAGGTACTAAAACTGAGTAAAACTAACTGTCTAGCAATATCCCACTAAATAACGTGTAAACCCAATTCGGGTGGGCCAGGAAAACAACTCGAACAAACTTTATCGTCTTTTCAGAGTTGTAAGGTGTCTTGTTACCCAGTTGACCCGTAGTGAGGTCGGCTCCTTTGACAAAATTACATTGCGCTGTCTGTCCATCCAAAAATTCGGGTTTACAGTTCCAGAAAAGGAAAAGCATTTTCCTGAATTTCTGGAAAAGAGGACAATCTCGCGAGGTATACCCAAAGCTGTCAAACTCTAAGTCTTGGAGGCGTCGGCTTACATGTCAAATTCTATGAAATCTTCTATAGATCTATTTAGTTAAAATAATCTGGATTGCTTCAGTGAATCCTTCCATGAAATTCAGTTTTCGAAATCCCAAAGAAGAGAAATCAGTTACCTTATTCCAAAGAGTAAGGAAATCTGGAAAAAAGACATGCTGCTGCTCAATGTCGGTTGTAAAATTCTCTCTAAAATAATAACAATGCGCATCGAACTTTCCGTCCAGTTTTATGATGGAATACTACGGAATCAATGGCTTGTGACCATTCCGATAAAGAACTCTACCCAGTGTTCAAGTTCCCATGTGACAATCAACACCTCTTTTTCAATTTGGGAATATCGCCGCTCCGTCTCGGTCAAAAATTTCCTAAAATAAGCCACCGGCGTCATCTTACGATAAGGCTGCTTATGCATAACATCACTCGGCTACACCAAGTCCAAAACTGCTTACATCTGACGGGGCCGTGGCCCAACTGAGCATTCTCCTGTTTTTGCAAGTCTTTTCAGGGCTTGTTCTGATCTTCTCCGCCAGATTCGGAAAAATACGTCATAAAGTGATTGACCAATCCTAAGGAACGCCTCAGGCACTCAATCTTCCGGGGTTCTACCAAATCAGTGATGGCTATAACCTTCGAGAGATCTCTCCTGACTCCTTCAGTGTCAATGTTTTGAACCAAATCATTGCAGCCTGGTTTAAGTCACTGATCATGTTCCGGTTGGTCTCTCTCGATGACTAGAATATTGTCCATGCGGCACCTCACCCCCTCTATTCCAGACTTTTCATTATTCATCTTTTTCGAACATTTACAGGCTGATGATATTCCGAAGGGCAGACGCTGAAACGTTTTCTTCATCATGGCAGTGATACTCGCCTTTGGGTGGTCATACAAAACGGGATAACCTCTTCCTTCAGATGGAATATGTGCTGACCCTCCAGTTTTCCTATCAGCGTCGTGTACTGCTTTAAAATGCACTCCTTTGTCTCGGATCTGAACTTCCTGAGGAGGTGTTACAAAAAGAAGGTATGTGATGGACTGGGTTTGATCCAACCACTGACTGACACTGCAGAATGCTCAACAGTGAAACGTACTCAGTAAATGTGTATTAGAAGCATCAAAACCAATCATATCTCGCTCTGTTTGTCCTACTGTGAAACATGAAAAAGCCAAATTACTTGGTGAAAATACATGATTAGAGAATTCACAATGTCGCTGAATTTATTTGAGAAACATTTCAATTGAGAATAAGTTTGTCCAGAATAGTATTGCTTACTTTAGGAGAGATTATCAGTATTGCATATTACATAAGTGTATTGATATATTACATATCGGTTAGTGTATTATGAATGTTGGGAAAATCTCTAATTTGAATTGCATGGCCGGGATTCTGTATTTGGAGGGAGTTGCGTACTATACTAGATCCCTCGTGGTAATGAAGGTAATCAGAGATATAATTAGTCACAATTAACGCATTTATAATTGCGCATTTTATAGTATCTACACAGGTTCAATAAACGATAAACAGAGAGAGCTTATGAAATTAACTTCTGAGCCTCGCTAATGCTATTTACCAAACAATCAGTTTATATGACAGGTTAGAAGGCAAACAGGGGTCTGGCATAAATTGTGTCATAAATTTTTCATTCGGACAACCAAGACGTTTTTTAATCCGAGCTCGAAAATAATCACATTCCTTTCTTAATTGAAGCCTCTATCCAACTTTATTTTAATGCCATATCCATGCACCATTTTAAGAATAAAATTCTACTTTGACACAGTCGTTCATAAAACCTGGTATCGTATTGCTTTGCCAACTCTGTCAGCATAAGAGTGATTACAACCTGATTATAAGCCGGTGACATAATTACGTTGTGTAGTTGCAGGTGTCATTTGTGCGGTAAAAAGGAGAAAAGTAAAGCAAACTGGATCAGTTCAAAGTGCAAAACTTTGAAATACCAATAGAACTCAATAAAAACATAGATTAATATTGAAGGTTTTGTTGTGTGTATGTGTGATTCTAGGAGTTTCTAGTAATTCTGGCCGCTGTAAGTCTGGTTGTAAGCTTACTGAATATAATTAAATTAATTGTGAGTTAACACTTTCAACATAACAGGTGTCAGGGGCTTTGAGGTACTGGTAACAACGGGGAACATGAAAAAAACAAAGTTGTAACAACTCTTATCGTAAGAAACTAAGCCTTGAGCATCCTACTTGACCAAGATTTTTAGGAAATATCTAACAAATATTTAAAGCACAATGGATGATTTAGTTCCCCCTGAAGAATTCGAAGATCCGGAAAATATGCCTTCGGCTACTGAAGAATTACTGCAAATTATGGAAGATTTCGCAGATGTTATTGACAAATTTATGTTTGAAATTGTCACTTTCCTGGCCGTTGTAGATTCCGGAATGGGACTTATAAAGGACGTATTGGGACTTTTTGGGTTTGAAGGCTGGAAAATGGCGTTTTTTCCAACATTTTCTTTCATCGTTACGACTGGAGTGTTTCTATTTGGCGCAAAAAAAAGAAAGGGCAAGAGAGACTCGGATGTACCAGAAGGTTTAGCAGACGCCTTTGAGGCTATAGAAGATGTAATGGAGGTTGTTGAAGATGTAGCCGAAGGACTGGAAGATATGGATGCCGAGGGTGGCGCAGGCGAAGGTGATTTGGGCGATGTTCTTGGAGATGTAGTGGGAAGTAACGTGAATCTCCCGATTGGGGAAATAGGAGAACTGCAAGGTATTGGGGACGGAGAAAGACAGGCAGATGCAAACGTTTCCAACGCACCTGCGGACAGCAATCAAAACATCACAGGCAAGGTGATCGCGGTTGCTGTCCTTGCCACTGGTATTATCGCCCGGCTTAAGAAGAAGAAAGATGAGGGCCAGCAAGAGGATATACAGAGCACAGAAGCTACGGGTGGAGGTGAGGGAACATCGAAAGATGTTGAAAAACATGATTCTGTAATAGGGCTAGACACACCGCTGGGAATCGCACAACAAAACGAATGGCAGTCCGGGAAGACGCCCGCATTGGCAGGTGTTTCAACTTTACCAGTGGATAACCGCAAGCCGCTTGCGTCTACCACGTGTGGAGGCAACGAATCAGTAATAATTGATTTAAACGTCGCTGACCGTGGAAAGAATTTGGATGATTCGAACTGGCAAAATGCAGCAAAAAGTAGCGTTATTTCAACAGAACGACAGTTGAGATGGAATTCCAGGCAGCTGGCAAGAGGAGTTGAGAAAGGTGCTTTTGAGATCAAGCACGGAATTGAACGAGCCCCTTTGCCAGAAACAAGAATTTCAATAGAGGACAGCACTCCAGACATAAGTCCCCTTGACGAAGACAAGCAGACTTCTGAGTATCACCTGCACAAAAATCCTATTGACATGGCATCAGGCGTAGTTAAGAACTCCTCCAATGTGGCTGAATCTGCTGCGCAAACTCTTGATCAGACGACTCGACGAGGAGTGGAGGAGACTCGTAAAAAGTCGGGCAGTATGTTACACATCGCTATTCGGCTAGTACGTTTGGTTGTTCGCGTTGTAAGTAAAAAGAAAGGTGGGTCTTCGTCTGCGAGTCAGAAGAGTGAAAACAGTATAGAAAAAGTTTCTTCGACTGACGTTAAAGGATCAACAGAATCTGTTGACAGCGATTCTGTTTATTTTGATTGCGTTTCATATCAACCTCCAAGGAGCACGCTGAAACAACCACAGAGTTT